ACTAACGGCCTAATTAATGTATAAAAAAATGAACGAAAAACAAATAAGTAACACAGCAACAACCGACAAATTACAGGCTCCTGACTTGGGACAGGCACATACATACAGAATGTGGCGGGGTTCAACATGTTAGCGGGATCCCAACCCTCCCCCTCACCTGGGACAGTGGTGTAACAGTACAACATAAGAAAAAGAACTATAAAAATCAGTTGAAAAAGGCTTAACTCATCAGATGGATACAAATAGAAATACATATAACAAAAATACAGAGTGGACATGAATGGGTACTTGTACATCCCAACAACAAAAAGACACTAAGTACAGATCTGAGAGTACTCGCAGTTACTAACAGCTAGTTCAAAGCCAATAACAACTAATAAAATAAAATGCTCCGCTGGGGCGCAGCTTGATACGACCGCAGAGGTCGAACCCTGAACAGTTGGGGCAAGTATGGACACAACATTCAAGCTTGATACAGCACTGAATTTGGATTGTAATTAAATATTTGACACAGCATAGGTTTCTCACACAGAATGAAAGTAGTCTAAGAACTTAAAAATTTTTAATTCACCTATTCAAACCATATCATTATTATTTGCTTTTATATATAAATCAGAAATAACCAATTTAAAATGGAAAATTTTAAAGAAAAAAAAGGAAAAAAAAATCCCCCCCCCAAATTTTTTGAAACCCCCTTATGATTCATCACCCCCAAACTCAATCCCAGCCTTCCCTTTGTGGTATGGTACCTTGCAGTACAATTTCAGAGAGATCCATACACTTGAACACAAATTATTGTCTGGAAACTAGAAAAATGCTTGGGTTTTTTGCACCTTTTTGGCCCCAAATTCCTAAAAGTTTAGGGCAATTACCCCCAAACTCAAACCAAGCTTTCCCTTTGTGATATGGAACCTTGCAGTACAATTTCATAAAGATCCATACACTTACACACAAGTTATTGTCATGAAACTAGAAAAATGCTTGTTTTTTTGCTCCTTTATGGCCCCTAATTCCTAACATTTTGAGACAATTACCCCCAAAAACAATCCCAGCCTTCCCTTTGTGGTATGGTACCTTGCAGTACAATTTCAGAGAGATCCATACACTTGAACACAAGTTATTGTCTGGAAACTAGAAAAATGCTTATTTTTGGCCCCTTATTCCTAAACGTTTTGGGCAAGTACCCCCAAACTCAATTCCAGCTTTCCCTTTGTGATATGGAACCTTGTAGTACAATTTCATAAATATCCATACACTTACACACAAGTTATTGTCATGAAACTAGAAAAATGCTTGTTTTTTGCCCCCTAATTCCTAAAATTTGGAGGCAATTACCCCCAAAATCAATCCCAGCATTCAAACCCTCAATCAGCATCATTTAACAGTAATATCTAAAAATGGAAATTACATAATAAAGGTATCAAAATAGAAAATGACATCATAGTCATGGCTAAAAATAAACAAAATCCTTAATCAGCAACATTTTACAGTAATATCTAAAAATAAAATTCCTTTGTAACCATAAAAGCCCATTTAAATACATCATGACAGATATTAAAATAGAAAATGACATCATAGTCATGGCTAAACATAGCAAAAACCTTAATCAGCATCATTTAACAGTAATATCTAAAAATAAAAATTTCTTTGCAACCATAAAAGTAAAATAGAAAATGACATCATAATCATAGCTAAAAATAAACAAAATTTTTTTTTATTACCAAATTTTAAATGGAGTTTATTAAACTAAAACAATAAATTTGCAACCATAAAACCCCATTTAAACACATCATAAAAGTATTAAATAATTCAACTACATCATAAGGCTATAAAAATAGAAAATGACTTCATAGTCAAGGCTAAAGGTAAACAAAAAACCTTCATCAGCAAAATTTTATATTGGCAAATTTCCAATGAAGTTTATTATACTAAAATTGTTGGCAAATTTCCAATGCATTTATTAACAATAAAGTTATTGGCAAATTTCCAATTTACATAATTTAAAAGCAGTGTAAGTGAGATATTTAAATGAGTTTGAATTACCAACCTTACACTGCTTTTAAATAATGTTTTGTACTTATTTGTCTATTAACCTGGAAACCCTTGTTTTTTCACCTTTTTTTCCCTTATTATTTAAAGGTTTGAGCCATAACCCTACCCCAAAGCCAATTCTTAAATTCCAATGTAACCTAAATTTACAATATACATAACTTCAATTTAAGTTTTTGATAAAATCAAACCACATCATTATTATTTGCTTTTATATCTAAATCAGAAATAATTAACCAACTTTAAGTGGAAAATTTTCACACATCACGCCCCCCCAAACTCAATCCCAGCCTTCAGTTTGTGGTATGGTACCTTGCAGTACAATTTCACAGAGATCCAATTACTTAAACACATTTAATTGTTGGAAACTAAAAAAAATGCTTATTTTTAACCCCTTTTTTAGCCCCTTATTCCTAAACATTTGAGCAATTATCCCCCAAACTCAATTCCAACTTTCTCTTTGTGATCAGAATTAACCAACTTAAAATGGAAAATTTTAAAGAAAAAAAAAAGGAAAAAAAATCCCCCCCCCCTCCAAAATTTTTTGACCCACTTCCCTTTGTGGTATGGTACCTTTAAGTACAATTTCAGAGAAATCCATACACTTGAACACAAGTTAATGTCTGGAAACTAAAAAAAATGCTTATTTTTGCCCCCTTTTTTGGCCACTTATTAATAAATGTTTTGGGCAAACATTTTACAATAATATTTAAAACTGAAATTAATTTGTAACCTTAAAATTAAATAGAAAATGACATCATAGTCATAGCTAAAAATAAACAAACTATTGGTAAATTTCCAATGGAGTTTATTATATTAAAACAATAAATTTGCAACCATAAAAGCGCATTAAAATACATCATAAAAGTATTAAAAAAAATTTAACTACATCATAAGGCTATTAAAATAGAAAATGACATCATAGTCAGACTAAAGGTAAACAAAAAACCTTCATCAGCAAAATTTTATATTGGCAAATTTCCAATGAAGTTTATTATACTAAAATAATTGGCAAATTTCCAATTTACATAATTCAAACATAGTGCAGGTGAGATATTTAAATGAGTTTGAATTACCAACCTTACACTGCTTTTAAATAATGTTCTTTACTCAATTATTTGTCTATTAAAATGGAAACCCTAGTTTTTTAACCTTTTTTCCCCTTATTCCTTAAACGAAAAAAAATAATTTCCCCTTTTTTGACCCCCCCCCCCCCTATGATTCATCACCCCTCCTTCCCCCCCAAACCAAGCTCAATAACAGCCTTGCCTTTGTGGTATGGTACCTTGTAATACAATTTTAGAGAGATCCATACACTTGAACACAAGTTATTGTCTAGAAACTAAAAAATGCTTATTTTTCACCCCTTTTTAGGCCCCTTATTACTAAACGTTTTGGGCAATTACCACAAAACTCAATTCCAGCTTTCCCTTTGCGAAATGGAACCTTGTAGTAAAATTTCAGAAAGATCCATACACTTACACACAAGTTATTGTCATGAAACTAGAAAAATGCTTGTTTTTTGCCCCCTTTTGGCCCCTTATTCCTAAAATTTCGAGGAAATTAACCCCAAAATCAATCCCATCATCGACCCTTTGTGATATGGAATCTTGTAGTACAATGTCAAAGAGATCCATACAATAACACACAAGTTATGTCTGGAAGTTACAAAAATGCTTATTTTCGGCCCCTTTTTGGCCCCTAATTATTTAACTGTTGGTACCATAACCCCCAAAATCAATCCCCACCTTCCTATTGTGGTATTGAACCTTATGGTAAAATTTCATAGAGATCCATTCACTTAAACTAAAGTTAGAGTGCGAAAACCATTGTGTATTCGGACGACGACGCCGGACGACGACGACGACGACGACGCCAACGTCATACCAATATACGACCACAAAATTTTTTTGCGGTCGTATAAAAAATCATGCATCTAAGACTAAATTATCAATCAGTACACATCCAACAGGATGTAGGTTTCAGTGAGGTCTTTTTCTATTTGGTCAACGTCCCAATTTGCCTTTTTGTAGTTGAGTACTTTATGAGCCTGTTGTTTGTTATGCAGCAGGGCTTAGTTTATTTAACTGAAACAATGTCCTGATCACTTGCTCCAATTTGTGGTAATGTTTCGACTCTATTGACAAATGATGGATTGGTCATACACAACAGGTCTAGGGTTGAACCTTGCATAAGAGGTGCAAAGCAAGTCAGATAATTCCTCCCACTGTTTGAATGCTAGGAAGTTTTCACTTTGCAGTGAACCAAAGACATATGTGCTCCCATGCTCAAATTTGTGTATTTTAAAGTAACACTTTGCATCTGCAGGGTCCTCATTTGTGTCTCCTAGACATAATAATATCTCAAAAAAAGTCCTACACTGACTTTGTTATAATACAGTTATTTCAGAGTGGAGTGCAGGGGCATCACTTTGTCTAGTTTTCATTTTGTTTTTATCACTTTTTTTAATCCATAAAACCAAAGTTATGCTTAGCAAATAACTCAATATGAAATTCTTAATAAGTCATTATTGTTCCTTAGATTCCTATCAATTTCTGTTTTTCATTTTCAAAATTCAAAATACTAACACATATGTGTACATAGGGTAGTTTTATGAAATAAATACAAACATATAAATAATAGAAACTTACCTACTGTAATATTTTGCTGATTTAAAGTAAACCTGACTGGTTTATATGTTTTGATAAAATGTATATGGTTTCCCTTGCTATATGTTCTTTATTCATGTATGACATCAAATTTTATTGGTTACATCAATTTCACTATTGTCACATCACGATTATGTGACAATGCCCAGTGTTATCTAACAGAGAGAACAAATTTTATCTATGAATGTTCTTTATACAATTTGGCTTGCCATGTTTACAGCTGGATGAGAAGCATTAGTCAATGACTGAATGCAGAATTTTTCACAAGTAAAAAGTCAATAATTAATCAACAAAACTTTATTTCTTCTTCCGAAAACCTGTCTTTTTCTCTTTGCCCCGCCCTGAAAATGAACCTTTATTTTTAAATTGCTTGTCCTTTCCCTGCATTTTGTCCTTCAGATAAACTTTCCCAGATTTCAATTTGTCCTTTGAATTTCCTTTAGAAAACTTGTTTGCTTTGAAATTTGATTTTATGTCTTTACGATTGGTAAAATCTTTTTCTTTACGATTGGTAAAATCTCTTTCTTTACGATTGGTAAAATCTTTTTCTGTATTTTTCTTGAATCTTTTAGCCTTCTCGTTAGGTCTAGAATGAGATCTATTTCTCTTCTGGGCTCTTGCTTTTGGAAATAACTCTGAAAATATGGTTATAAATACAATGTAATTAGAATATCTTAACTAATTTCACCTATTATTAGGAATAGTCTAATAGCATAAGATGATACAAAACAGCAATACATTTTATTTTAAAGAAGGAATAACCAAAATTAAAGATGAAAAGGCAAACAACACACCAAAAAAACATTAATCACTTAACTAAATGTTGTACAACAATAAAACCTTCAAAACAGAGATAAACTCAGATGAGCTGATAGAGTAAGTGATTCATACCTTCTGTCTAGTCCAGGCATTATATTTATAAAAATTACAAGGATTCCTTACTTATATGCTTAGTGCCAATAGAAACACAATCCCTTTATGTACTTTCTACAAATTTAATAAAAATTCAAGCATACAGATCATCTTTGGACGTAGACCAATCATTCTAAGATTTTTGAAGACAGATAAGATTATCCATGGATACAGAACAATTCCAGCAATTTTCAAAGCTGTCAGATTTTCTGATTTCGATGTTTACAAATTGCACATTTTTATCAAAAGATTGAAACTGCAAAGGAAAATGGTTAATTTGATTTACTTTTTGATAACCTATGCTATTGGGTTTCATTATAGTGGAATTTGTGCTCTCCTAAGGATAAAAAAGCCCCCAAAAATGATGCAAAATACCTGATAAACAAAATGTGAATCGTAATCATACATATATACATGTTGTTAATTATCATACCTGCATCAGGTTCCACGCCTACTTCCTGTTTGTAATACTCTCTATCATCCTCATGTTCTATAAATATAAAAAAAAATTATGTCTTATTACTGAAAATATATAACTCTCTGATTAAATTGGTTTACAGATTAGTTTGATTGATTGATTGATTGTTGGTTGCTTAACGTCCAGTGGCTAGATTAGTTTGATAACACTTTATTAAAAACAAAACATGTTTTCTACTTATACTTAAAATCACTCTCTTTTACCTCTGCTATCAGTCAGCGCTCAGACATAAACAAGTCTTTTTTTTGTTTCTGACTTATATAAGTCAACTCATGTATTTTGATAAAAATGTGTGTTTACAATTTTGGACTTGTCGAAGTCAGAAAATGACAGACTCTTTTTTGGTTTCTGACTTATATTTGTCAACTCATGTATTTTGATAAAAATGTGTGTTTACAATTTTGGACTTGTCGAAGTCAGAAAATGACAGACTTCTTTAATTCAATTTATGCTTCATAAAACAGGATGAAAACACATTATTTTGTGGTCAAAGTTCATCACCTATGACAATAAAATCTTTTCTGAGAATTTGCAAGGACATGCGGTATCTACAAGTATAAATGATCTGATTGAACAGTTTTTCTTTATATCAAAGTTTTTTCCCCACTTTTAGTGGTTATAAATGGTTGCATCAGAAAGTGAATGAACATTGTCACTTTTTTTTTAGAATCGAACTCATATTTTTCTTGAGAAGACTCAGCATTACCTAACAATGTTGTCTCAATTTCATGTCGATGCTTGACCTTTTTATATTTATACATGGGTCTTGAGTTAACCAATCTTGGTAACTTTTTGACTTGAGGAAGTCATTCATCACAGCATTTTGATGCAGGTCAAATATGTTTTGCTTAACATTAATTGACTTGTTGAAGTCGTTTTTGTTTTTAAAATAAGGAAGAGAACCTATGAAATATGCAAATTTTGATCTCTACAAGTGGAAAGTAAAATTAGAACTATTTATATCTGAGCTCTGATTGGCTATGGATTTTTCTTTCTAAACTCCTCTGGCTTTTTCCTAGGCTATGTATTTTTCTATTTTTCTAAACATACACTTTTGAACAAATATTTATAAGTTTGTGTTATATCAACACAGATTAATATTCTTTTCTTCTCATAATTCTATTAAGAAAGATCCAGAGATACATTTTCACTCTAAAATTTCAATGTTTTAAAACTTGATTTCACTTAAGCCTTAAAATCTTAATTTTTCCATACTTAAGATGTATTGTACATAATTAAAAAAGATGTCATCTATGAAAATGCTGCTATTCCAATTTCAGCAGTTTACATCTTCAATAGAGTTTGTTGTTGCACAAAGAAACTCATGAGAATGTCAACAATGTTGGTTTATAGCTGTTTACTTTCAAAGGTCTTAGGTATTAAATGATGGCCAGTTTTTATTGGCGGAGGAATCTAAATGTTGATACTGAGATGAATATAAGGGATCATAGATTTATTCTTATGAGGAAGCTCCGAGCATGCTCGGAGGATGCTCGGAGCTTTTTCAGTAGGCTCTTCTCTGCAGTTTATGTGAAAATAATTATCATGATCCATTAAAATGTCAATCAAATCTACACCACTTCTATAATAAGGAAAGTAGAGCATTATAGAGGAAGCTCAATTAACACCTGTGTAAACATCTAATCTATTCAAATACATTTTGCCTGAAATTTTACAAAAGTATAGAATAGATTAGAAATTCTTCAACAGTACTGTGTAATGCTTGGAAAGAAATCTCATGTCTCCACAAAAAGTAAAAGTCTTTAACAAAAAATATACAATTATTATATTTTTAAAATAATCATTTCTTTTTTTATAATAAAAAAAATTCTCAAATTTTATAATTAGATGATATGATTTAAATATAGTTTATATTATATAATATGCTACATAAAAGTTATCAAGACACAAACAACAGTCAGGTGGCGATACTAAACAAGTTATTTTTTTTAGTTACTTATATTAATAGGTATTTTTTGTTTTTTTAAATTATTTGATATAATCTCAATTGTTATTTTAAATGTCAAAAGTGGACTAAATGTAGTTTTTAAGAATTTTTATATCATTTCATTAAGTAAAATTAAGTATTTATCCAACTTGAGATGAGTATAGAGAGATTACTTTAAAAATAATGACAAAAATATTACTTTTATAAATTATTTTATACATCTTCAAAAAACTAAGCGAAAAACTAAGCACAATTATTTAAGGAACATATGTAATTGTTTTTGATAAATATTTCAAATTATAAATAACTTCAAGTCTTAATTAAATCACAAGGTTCCATCCATTTATATTTGTTCATCTCTAAGATTTTGAAGGAAAATGTTATTTTAATAGCCCCAAGAGACCAATCTATGACCAAGAAGTGTGGCATCAGAAAGGCAATTAGTGTTTCAGGAGGATTTAAATAGTTTTATACTGCATGGGGAAAATAACCAGATGTGAAAATTTGTTAAAGCTTGTAAAACCTGTATGAATGGACACCTATAGAAATGATATTAACAGAAGTTACTTATTCATGATATATAAGTAATATTTGAAACAACCTTGTTTTCAATATAACTTGTATAGGTTATTTTGAAAATTACTAGTTTAAGTAATGCCCTTAACTAAACAATGGTATTTTTTTTTATAAAATTGCAAAGTTAGTTTTTTATATAAAATATTTTGCAATTTTAGGGGACATGGCTACTAAAGCTTGTAAACAGAGAAAAAAAAGGGGGATAGAATTTGGTTGGTTATTTCTGGTGATGTCTTCTTTCTTATATGCACTGAAAAATTATGTTGTTTTATTACTATAGTACAGGACAAGAAAAAACTTTACTCATGTCAAGTATTTCTTTATTTAAAACATAGATAAATTCTGCACATATTTTTGGAAAAATACCAATTAAACAAAGACTGATAGGGGGAAACAATTTTATATTATGTTTTCATTCAAGTACAGGTCAGGATAAAACTTCACTTCTTTATTTAAAATAAAACCAAATCTGCACAATTATAAAAAAAAATGACAATTAAAGTGAGACGTACTAGAGGGAAAACAATGGTGGTATTATCTCCTCAACCTTTCTTAGAGTAGCCATAATTTTTTTTATAAAAAACTAACTTTGCTATTTTAAAAAAAAAAAAAAATTATCATTGTTTTAATAGTCAGGGGCATTACTTAAACTAGTAATTTTCAAAATAACCTATACAAGTTATATTGAAAACAAGGTTGTTTTAAATATTACTTATATATCATGAATAAGTAACTTCTGTTAATATTATTTCTATAGGTGTCCATTCATACAGGTTTTACAAGCTTTAACAAATTTTCACATCTGGTTATTTTCCCCATGCAGTATAAAACTATTTAAATCCTCCTGAAACACTAATTGCCTTTCTGATGCCACACTTCTTGGTCATAGATTGGTCTCTTGGAGCTATTAAAATAACATTTTCCTTTAAAATCTTATAGATGAACAAATATAAATGGATGGAACTTTGTGATTTAATTAAGACTTGAAGTTATTTATAATTTGAAATCTTTATCAAAAACAATTACATATGTTCCTTAAATACATGTAATTGTAAGTATGCTTAGTTTTTCGAAGATGTATAAAATAATTTATAAAAGTAATATTTTTGTCATTATTTTTAAAGTAATCTCTCTATACTCATCTCAAGTTGGATAAATACTTAATTTTACTTAATGAAATGATAAAAAAATTCTTAAAAACTACATTTAGTCCACTTTTGACATTTAAAATAACTATTGAGTTTATATCAAATAATTTAAAAAAACAAAAAATACCTATTAATATATAATAAGTAACTAAAAAAAATAACTGGTTTAGTATCGCCCCCCTGACTGTTGTTTGTGTCTTGATAACTTTTATGTAGCATATTATATAATATAAACTATATTTAAATCATATCATCTAATTATAAGATTTGAGAATTTTTTTTATTTAAAAAAAAGAAATGATTAATAAATATAATAATTGTATATTTTTTGTTAAATGACTTTCACTTTTTTGTGGAGACTTGAGATTTCTTTCCAAGCATTACACAGTACTGTTGAAGAATTTCTTATCTTTTCTATAATTTGTAAAATGTCATGCAAAATGTATTTGAATAGATCAGTTGTTTACACAGGTGTTAATTGAGCTTCCTCTATAATGCTCAACTTTCCTTATTATAGAAGTGGTGTAGATTTGATTGACATCTTAATGGATCATGATAATTATTTTCACATAAACTGCAGAGAAGAGCCTACTGAAAAAGCTCCGAGCATCCTCCGAGCATGCTCGGAGCTTCCTCGTAAGAATAAATCTATGATCCCTAACATTAGATTATGTCGGACAAAAGAATGCTGATGGTTACTTTAGAAATAATTCAAGAGAAGTGTTACTAAACAAACTTTTTCTAAATTTGCATTGTATTAATATGTACATGTTTTCCTTCAATATGTGATATTCATAGTAATTTATTTTCTCACATTTGTTTATGTAACTCAACTCTTTAAATCAAAGACTGCTTATATAACAATTCATATATAAACAGTACACTAGTGCAACTAAATGTTACACCATGGCTTTCAAATTGCTGGTAGGAATAGAGTTGGTTGAAAAAAGCAAGATTTTTACATGGGTTCAAGTCTTTCTTACTTCAAACTCAGGGGCGTTAAATAAATAAGTTATTTTTAGCTCACCTGGCCTAAAAGGCCAAGTGATGAGAAAAGCTCACTTTTCAGTCGTCGTTAACTTTTACAAAAATCTTCTCCTCTGAAACTACTGGACCAAATTTAACCAAACTTGGCCACAATCATTATTGGGGTATCATTTTAAAAAAATGTGTCTGATGACCCGGCCCGACAACCAAGATGGGCGCCATGGCTAAAAATAGAACATAGGGTTAAAATGTAGATTTTGGCTTATATCTCTGAAACCAAAGCATTAAGAGCAAATCTTAAAGAGGTAAAATTGTTCATCAGGTCAAGATCTATCTGCCCTGAAATTTTCAGACAAATCAGACAACCCATTGTTGGGTTGCTGCCCATGAATTGGTAATTTTAAGAAAATTTGGCAGGTTTTGGTTATTATTGTCAATATTATTATAGATAGAGATAAACTGTAAACAGCAATAATGTTCAGCAAAGTAAGATCTACAAATAAATCAATATGACCAAAATGGTCAATTGACCCCTTAAGGAGTTATTGCCCTTTATAGTCAATTTTTAACAATTTTTTTTGTAAATTTTTGTAATCTTTTACAAAAATCTTCTCCTCTAAAACTACTGAGACAAATTTAACCAAACATGGCCACAATCATCATTAGGGTATGTAGTTTAAAAAAAATGTGTCCAATGACCCCGCCTACGAACCAACATGGCCGACATGGCTTAAATATAGAACATAGGGGTAAAATGCAAGATTTGTCTATTATTTTTTAAACCGTTATAAATAGAGAAAATCTGAAAGGAGCAAAAATGTTCAGAATAATGAACTCTACCAATTGTCCATATACGTCAAAAATGTTAGACAAATTCTTATAGGAGTTATTGCCCATAAATGACAAATTTTACCATTTTTTTCATTTTTGCTTATTATCATGAAAACTATGATATTTAGAGAGAAACATTCTTTTTCCGTTATGCCTTATATGATTTAAATTATAATAGATGATTAAACACTTTAAATCACAAAAATGATCAGCAAGGCAAGATCTATTAAAAAGTCAAATTTCGCCGATATAGTTAGAACTCTTTTGTTTTTTGAGCAAAAAGTAAAGAAGATAGAGAGAAACTAAACAGACTAAAAGATCAGTAATACAAGATCAACAAATAGAGATTTTTGTCATGAAGTCTATTCTTGTCTACAATGTTAGAGAGTGTCCTTTGTTTGATATGCACATAGATCAAGGTGAGCGACACAGGCTCTTTAGAGCCTCTAGTTTTAGTTACTCATATAGGCAATATTTGTTTTTTTAAAAATATCAAATTACTCAATAGAGTTATTTTAAATTTCAATAGAAGCATGGACTAAATGTAGTTTCATCAATTTGAGAGGAGTATAGAGATAAATAGTTACTTTAAAAATATTAACAAAAATATCTCTTGTACAAGTCATTTAATACATCTTTAAAAGAATTAGTAATTTCAATTATTTAAAAATTATAAATAACTTCAAGTCTTAATTAAATCACAAGTATCCATCTATTTATATCTGTCTGCCTTTAAGATTTTCAAGGAAAATGATAACTCAATGTCCCAAGAGACCAATCGTTGACCCAGAAGCGTCGATATGAAATGTAAGTTCGTATGAAAGATAATAAGTGTTTCAGGAGGATTTGTTTTTATATTATATGGGAAAGGTAACCAGATGTCTGTGAAAATTTGTTAAAGGTAGTAAAATCTGTATGAATGGGAACCTATAAAAACAATATTTACAAAAGTTACTTATATAAGTAATATTTAATATAGCCTAGTTTTCAAAATAACTTGTATAGGTAGTTTTTAAAGTTATTTGTTTAAGTAATGCCCCCGACTTCTTAAAATTCAGAATGGTCCAAAACCATTTCTATCCAGTCATACATTTATTATGAAATTTAAAATTCAATAATGAAAAAGGTTTGTTTAAGGGATGTTATGTAGTTTTGAAGCAACTTGGATCCTGTATTTTGCTAAATCAAACAAAATTATCATGCCTATTTGTTGAACAATACAAAGCAACAAAAAAGGAAGTTTGTATTTTGTTTCATGATGTTTAGCAAAAACAATTTGTACTTTGTCATGTTTGTTGAATAATGTTCATGATGTTTAGCAAAAGAAAATTGTACTTTGTTGAATAATGTTCATGATGTTTAGCATAAAGAAATCTGTACTTTGTTGAATAATGGTCATGATGTTTAGCATAAATAAATTTGGACTTTGTTGAATAATGTTCATGATGTTTAGCATAAAGAAATTTGTACTTTGTTGAATAATGGTCATGATGTTTAGCATAAATAAATTTGGACTTTGTTGAATAATGTTCATGATGTTTAGCATAAATAAATTTGTACTTTGTTGAATAATGTTCATGATGTTTAGCATAAATAAATTTGTACTTTGTTGAATAATGTTCATGATGTTTAGCATAAATAAATTTGTACTTTGTTGAATAATGATCATGATGTTTAGCAAAAGAAATTTGTACTTTGTTGAATAATGTTCTTCATGATGTTTAGCAAAAGAAATTTGTACTTTGTTGAATAATGTTCTTCATGATGTTTAGCAAAAGAAATTTGTACTTTGTTGAATAATGTTCATGATGTTTAGCAAAAGAAATTTGTACTTTGTTGAATGTTCATGATGTTTAGCAAAAGAAATTTGTACTTTGTTGAATAATGTTCATGATGTTTAGCAAAAGAAATTTGTACTTTGTTGAATGTTCATGATGTTTAGCAAAAGAAATTTGTACTTTGTTGAATAATGTTCATGATGTTTAACATAAAGAAATTTGTACTTTGTTGAATAATGTTCATGATGTTTAGCATAAATAAATTTGTACTTTGTTGAATAATGTTCATGATGTTTAGCATAAAGAAATTTGTACTTTGTTGAATAATAAAAAGCAACTATTAAAGATTTGTTTTGTTGTTTAACACAAAGCATCTTTTTTGTATTGTGTTGAACATTACCTGTACATAAAATAACTTAACATCACTAAATAGGGCTGTCGATTTTCTCTGTTGAATTGTGTCATGCAAGTGTTCTCGTACAACTTACTATACAGCATGGGTTTTGCTCATTGTTGAAAGCTGTACAGTGCTCTTTAGTTATTTTTTTTTTTTTCTTAGGTCTCTGGTGTTTAGTTTGTCTTGTTGGCAATCATACAAAAATATGAATTTGCATTTTGTTGAAAAATGACTATTCACCAGTACTTCTACTTCACATTACAGTTAACTTTGTAAAATGTCTTTTCTGTGTGACGGAATCACAAATTTCCGACAATTGTTGACAGCACAGATGTCAGAAACAAAACACCCGAGTCATAATATGTAATACATACCATAATACAGAATACAGAATACATACCATTTTCAACCTTCTCCTTCTCCTCATCTGTACTTTCCTCCTCATCCTCACTTTTCTTCATCCCTTCCAATGATTTTAACTTATTAGCCTCTTTTTCATCTTGTTTCTTTTTCACATTTTCTTCTTGTTTCTTTTTCCTAATTTCTTTCAACTTTCTGAAAGATACATGATGCATTGTTATGTTATTTAATATAAAATTGTCCTGAAGGAATGAAAATAATACATATTTGCCAAGTAAAATTTCAATGGGTCCATGAAGTTTTGAGTAAGGGCCATTCGAGGAATAAATGTAGGAAGGGGACGGGGTGTTAGTCAAAACTTTTTTTATATCCCACCAGTGATCACCCATAATTCTTAGTTTCAATTGCAACAAAATTGTGTAAAATTCCACCCCTATTACCCACAGGAAAAGATATCATGCGGTATCCAATCCTCCTATTCAATTTTACTAGAAAAGCCCTATGGTCAAACAGTTATTGCCAGAGATCAAAATATGTTGCTTTTGATTTTTGCATTATTTTTCCTATATCATTGACATGATGAGTAACACCAGTGATATAACAACAAAATGGGTTCATTAATTTCAACAAAATTATTCCATTTCTCAATATCAATCTCATTAGCTTTCATATCAAAATCTAAAGACAAATGACACTATTGGCATTCCTTCATTTCGTTTGGACATATTAGAAAAAGTACATGTACCATAGTAAGTTTCCTACCCCTGATATTTATACAATCTGATGTCTTTCTAGAAACCCTTTAATGAGGTAGATGGAAGGTTTTTCCGATTCTGTCTGAACCAAAACCTGCCTTTGACTGCATAAACATAAAATCTTCCTACACTGAACTCTTTTATCACAACATAGAATACTTATTTTTTGGTTAAGTTACCATGGATACAGTAAACATGGATATTTTCAATGCATTTACTTTTGAGTTGAGACTAAATTTACCAAAAAATTATTGATACAGACATTCTTCAAATGAATTTTATACAAATACTTTTCACATGGGTGATATTTTCTATGCATTTTACATGATTACGAGATTTAGAGAAAGTAATCCCAGCACAAAAATTTCCACGTTTACACTAACTTGTGTAAACAAACAACTGTCTAACCCAGGTGATATTTTCAGTCTAAAATGATTCTGAATTAGACAGGCTTATGGGTAAGAACAAACCTTTTCTTTTCTCTCAGAGCTTTCAATTGTTTAACTTCATCCCCAGTCTTCTCAATAAATTCATGAAACATCACTTCTCCATCACAGATACCTTCTTCTATCTTTACTAACTGTAGGGTAAGTCTTGGCCCTAGTTCTGTCAATCTGTAGAAAATAAATCAGTTAAATTATATTCCTACACAGCAAAACATGCAAAATACAAGCCACTTACATTTCCTCATATTTCAGGAAAAAAATAAAAATAAATGTGGATTGTGTCCACACGTGGAAACAGATGATGCCCCTGCTTGCATATTATATAGTTATAAAGGGACTTAAGGTAGCACTACAGTCAGAATTTTCTGACTCCAACCAACAGTCTTTAAAGATTAATTTCTCCAAAACTACTCAATGGATTTTTAAAATCTTTAACTCATTTTAAAGCTGAAATATAATTCTTTCTTAATCTATAGATAAATTTATTTTTGGTATGATTAATCTCAAAATATAGCTCATTAATTGCCAAAAAAGTGGTCTTCCAACTTGGATGAAAATGGCACATTCAGGTCAAATGGTAGTATAAATTTGTTTTCATCCCTTTAATCAACCATTTACAATCTACAAAACCGTGTCTCAGATTTTTGATATATGCCTCCAGTAATAAGATATATTATTTTTACTGCTGGATGCCAAACCTCATTTCACCTTTCATCTTTAGAGACCTATAAATTCATTTAGAAACAAATTATCCAAAAACTGGGACACAGTATTGTAGAAAATACTCCCTTCAATCACATATATCAAAGTCAAGCCAATAGGGTACCCGTAAAGTTTCTATTTTCATTTTTTCCTTACAATTTTCATGAAAAATTGTTCTGAGAAATGACCTTAAAACTGAATTTCCTCTTAAGAACCCCTATAAATGCCACATAAATACAAAAATTCCACTGGGAACACCCCAGGAGTGTTCTAACACCAATACTTTATCAATAGAACCACACACATTGTGTCTTTGATGCTCTAATGCTGTAAAATTTGCATTTTGTAAGCACTGTATAACACTAACTTGGCATTTGGCGGGAGTTTGACGTCACAGATTTGACCAACATCTGTGATGTACAAAATGTAGTAATTAAATAAAGACAAAGCTCCGCCTCTGTCCAGACAGTCTAAGATAAGAGAATAACAGGATTGGCCAGCTGCATCATAATTAATACTTAACATCATTATTCTCACTATAAAGAATAATTTTCATTTGAATTTTAAAAAGAAATATAATATGACCATGATGACTGAAATTAGCTTAAATATTAAAATTGTGCATTAAAAGACATGTCCATAAAAAGATCAAGACAATCCCCTTCTTGAAAATAGACTGTCCAACATGATTTATGAGTTTCATGGAATTAAAAAATTTCACATACACTTAAAATTAGTTAAAATGCCTAAAATTTTTTTTAATGTAGAAGAACAAAGACGAGAAATTTATACAGGCAGTCAGAGGCTTTCAAAGATACTTTCACACTCTTTTCCATAGATTTTTTTCCTTTAAATTTTTTCCTATTCATATCTTTTTCTTTTTCTCTGTTCTAAACTTCCATGTTTTATAAATTAGTTTTGTTGCAATGCAATGAGATATTTATCTTGTGGTCAGGGATTAACAGCTGGACACTGGTACATCATCAACAGATGATTGACATATTAGCCCCTCCCAAATGCCTATATATTTAGATTAATTACATGTGCTTTTATTTACATAAGTTCATTATCAATTTACTCCCTGTTGTGATATGATAATGACTTTGGGATTTTTACAAACTGTGCAGAGTAATACTTACTTGAAAATTATGTGATAAAAAAAATATCTTCAAAAAATCATTGTTAGACTGTAGTGCTACCTTAACTAAGAACGGTAAAAGTGACGCTACCCAAATTAGAACTTGATCCGAGTTTTATGGCAATAAGCATTGCGTGTAAGTCTCATAATATTTGGTTGAGGCAAACTTAAGTTAGAGAATGGAAACTAAAAATTTTGCAATTTTTCCATTATAAAGGGGCATAACTCTAGAACCATTTAAGTGACACCACCAAAATTCAAACTTGATCTGTGTTTTGTGGTAATACGCATTGTGTATAAGTTTCATAATATTTGGTTGAGGCAAACTTAAGTTAGAGAACGGAATTAAATATTTTGCAATTTTTCAATTTATAAAGGGCATAACTCTAGAATTGTTAGAGTGATGCTACCAAAATTCAAACTTGATCTGTATTTAGTGGTAATAAGCATTGTGTATAAGTTTCATAACATTTGGTTGAGGCAAACTTAAGTTAGAGAACGGAAACTAAAAATGTCTGGCAAGAATTGTACCTGTGAGAGAGCTAACAAGACCGGACTGACGGACGGACACACTGATGCCCGGTATTTCCATGTCCCCCGCAACGCGTTACGTGGGGGACAAAAATTCTTTTACCATTAATATAAACTTTAATCAATCACTGCTCTGGTAAGACCAGATAATATTTCAGCTTTATTTAACCTGATCATGCAAGGTTTAAATGGCGACATAACTTCGGAAAAATTTCATTTACTAAAAAATAAATAACTATACTAGTTTAATATCTTTTCTCAGATACAATTAACTTAATGATATTTATTACATAATTGGTGTGGTAAAAAAAGGGGGTCAGGGGAGATTTACTGACCTAATTGCACTTTTAGTGGCTTGAATATTTCCTCTGCTTCCCACATGTTGTGGTAAAACAACTTCATTGTGTTCCCCATCTAACTCTGCCTCACTATCTGATAAATAACCAGCTCTGAAAACATGAATAAATTAAAAAGAAGTCAAATATGTCAAAGGCGATCTCAGATCTGTACTTGTGTTGTATTTGTTGTTAGGGATGTATAAATACCCTGCCACATCTGGTCTGTGTTTTTGTTAATTGTTTTTCTGCTGTGTATTGATCTGATACTGATTTTTATAGTTTGTTCTTATATTGTGCTGTAACACCACTGTCCTAGGTTAGGGGGAGGGTTGAGCGTTCACAAACATGTTTAACCATGCCACATTCTTTATGTACCTGTCCCCAAGCCAGGAACCTGTAGTTCAGTGTTTGTTGTTGGTTCATATCTGTCATATTTGTTTTGTTATAAATCAACTGATTAGTTTTCTCAATTGAATTGTTTCATATTTTTCATGTTGGGATCTTTTATAGCTGACTTTACAGTATGGGTTTTTCTCAATGTTGAAGGCTGTTTGGTTGCCTATAATTGCTTACATCCATTTCATTTGAACTTTGGTGGATAGTTGTATCATTGGCAATCATACCACATCTCCTTATTTTTATTTTGTCTCAAAGTAGAAAATTTATTTTTACAAGGCTTACAAACATGAATAAGGTGAGGCTGCACCATCAAGGCATTTTTATCTTGTTTTAAGCCGAGACTCTTCAGAAACACATTATTAATGTCACAAACAAGGGTATTTATGGTCAGGGACTATGTAAAGCCAACATTTATAGGGTCAATGCATTTTGACTAAACAAACAGCACAGTTGCAGTGTAAAATCATTCTATACAAAGGGCTGAAAAATAAGAAAACTTAAAAGAACACTAAAATGATACTATTATTTTCAATTTTTCTTACGGTGATGATTGGATTGCAAATAAATATGTATAATATAGTATGATTTATCAAAAAAAAGTCCCACAGATGCCACACTAAGTGGTGAAACATGTTGAACACAATAAAATAATGTTCTTGCCGTAACCAGGATGTTGTTGTCTTTTAACAGTTTGGATTTATGAGATTTTCACTTCAGCATACTTTGGTATCCTTCCTGATTACTATACCAGATTGTACCAACAAAAGCTGTTGGTTCACTTGACTTATTTAGATTAACATGATAAAATATGTTACCAAAATAACATAAAACAACAAAAGAACATTCAAAAAGACTAATTTTGATTGAATTCCTTTGATTTTCAATAAACTTCTATAATATTCACACTAACACAATGTTCCAATTCAAATAAAATAGCTTGGAAATAAAAAAATAAATAGAACTAACTCCTTGTAAAGTTGCATCTGACAGTAGGATTATTCCAAGGGCTTATCCAGGTGACTCTTGGTGCCATATATGAAGAAGATATGACTTATTGTTGCTGGAAAAAATGCAACAGATATGTCCAAGGAAAAGATGGTCTCACAGACAAATAAACAGAGGTTAACTTGTATAACCCCTGCTTTATTTACTTAACAGTACAGAACTGACTGGTAACCTTTGAACTTACTTTGTAATATATTCACTGACATCACTATATTTACTCATATCAGGTACTGTTGCCTTGATCAGTTTCTTCACACTTTTACTCATACCAACTGGTACCACTCTTATATTGCTAAAAAATATCAAATATAGTAATCATTTCTGATTGGAAGGTATCAGCACATTATTTATTAGTAAAACTACAGTAAACAATAAAGCAAACAGACATACATATACTCCTATAATCCGTTTAAGTTATATTAATCTTCAAACACAAAAAATTAATAATACGATTCATACAGAATACAAAACATTTATTGTTCCAAATAATGGCCCTTGATGGGCAGCATGTCTATTATACACACAAAACATTACACTATGATTTTTTAAAATGATTTTACATTGAAATGAAATATTAAAAGTTCATATAGTTTCCAATCTACATATATATTTCTTCGTCTTACATAAATCATGTACATTTTATTCCAGGCAGGAAAAGAACCATAAAATCATTACAATAATCATGGTTATAAAGCATGTTCATTTTTTAGACATAATTAAGTGATAGCAGAATTTATATCCTATATATTTTATAATCATCATATGAACACAGAATTTGTTATAAAAAAATTCCCCATTAGGTCTCTATAGTATGTATTTATTTCACAATTCAACTTATACATAGGGAGGGACAGTTTGTAATACGTAACCACAATAGGCATTCATTGTACCTTTACATCATTATTCACATAAATAGAAATAGAAAAACCCTTGACCAATATTGCTGTTTAGAGTTATGAATTGAACCCCTAACATGCCTAACCAATTGCTTTCACAGTCAATTCATTCACTCCATTGACTTTTATATGACAAAGAAAATCAAAAGACTTCAAGCAATTAGTATATTATTATTAACTTTAGACACCTTTTATTTTATTGCTTGTAGTGGACTATTTCCCCTGAATCAAGTTCCCAATATGCAAATTATATATAAGCAGCTGTGCCAAGAGCCCATGATACACCTGTTTTGTGCATATTTAAATTGTTTCTAGAATAAAATGTGATATATTGACATCTTTGAAGACACTTAAAAGTTTGAATTTTAGGTTCAATTATAAGTTAACTGGAGTTGTATTGCAATTTTTTATTTTGTTGGTGAAAATCACTCTTAAACAAGCATTTCATAATTATACATTCTTTCCTTTCAGTCTCATGTTGGCTTTGTTTAAAAAATATGGAACTTGTAAATTTGTCTTCTATTCCCAAGAAAAATGAAATTAAACAAAATATACTAATACTAATCAAAAATGTGAAAAAAAGAAGTTTTAGTTAATAATCCTATATTCATATTACAACTAAACAAGAATATGTCCATAGTACACGGATGACCCACTCGCACTTTCATTTTCTATGTTCAGTGGACTGTGAAATTGGGGTCAAAACTCTTAATTTGGCATTAAAATTAGAAAGATCATATAATAGGGAACATGTGTACTAAGTTTCAAGTTGATTGGACTTTAACTTCATCAAAAACTACCTTGACCAAAAACTTTAACCTGAAGCAGGACAGACAGACGGACAAAGGGACGCACAAACCGAAAAAACATAATGCCCCTATGTGGGGCATAAAAATGTGAATGAATGTAACAGAAACTATCAAATATCAGTCATCTTACGTATGTGATTATATAACAAAATGTTAATCTAATTGGAAACTTACTAATGTCTGAAATCTATGGTCTTTGTTTCTGGATTATAATTCACCATAACACACCTTCTGATCTGGTTTAATTTTACCTGAAAAAGAAGGTGGAAAAGGGTTATTTTCATGCAATGTGTTTTGCCATTTTTATTCCACGTGCAGCCGTGAAAAAGGTTTGTTATTCAATTTTTTTATTAATCGGTAAAAAGATCAACGTGCAAGAAATTTTTAATTGTTTGTTCATCGTGAAATGGCAATTTTATTTAGCGTTCTTCCGTGCAGATACCCCCCCTTTACGCCCCTCAAAAAATATTAGGTCAATGTACATGCAATGTCTACATGTGAAATAAATCAAAACCTTTTGCAAGTGTTGAGCCATTCACTTTGACAAAAAAGCTGGTTGTAGGTGATATGTTCTCTGATTTATGACCCTGTCATATATTACCTACAGAATATACAGAGAAATGTAGACTGAATAACGTAAGCCTTCGCTGTGCTAAATCACCTTCAATAGTGACTTCAAATGGATTATCTTTGTGTATATAGTATGTACATGGCTGTATGGAAAGTTTTTATTCAAAGTATAAATGAAAAGTTGAGAATCGAGCTTGACCATTGTTTGTAGAATTGTGAGACATCTGCTCATATATTTAACCCTCGGTTTTTAGTGGGGTTCATGTTGCTCATTCTTTAGTTTTCTATTTTGTGTTTTGTATACTATTGTTTGTTGGTGGTTTTTCTTTATTGCCTTGGCATTGTCAGTTCATTTTTGATATTTGAGTTTGATCATCTCTTTGGTACAAAATGTATCTTTCACCTCTTTTTCACTTAATTTTAATGAAACTTTAATTTCTATTATATATATCTCATGTATTCTTACAAAGCAAGATGGGGAGTTTTAAATTGAAACTTTATATAGATTGGCTGTAAGATCAAGATTGTTCAATAAATGCAGACATACATGTCAAGTATATAACCAAGGAAGGAACTTTACAAATACAGAACCATCCTTAGCAACATTTGGATTTTTGGGTTAATGCTACAGCCATACTGCTTAACAAACAACTTCACAAAATAAACATATTCTAGTATTGGTGCAAGAAGACAGATCATGTTTAACTTTTGATATTAGATATTTGAAAAATAAATTGTCCAGTTTCTGCAATGATTTTAAGCATGTTAAGCTTGAATATATTCAATATTGCAGGCACTTCTCCTTAATTCAACTAATTATTTATAATAATAACAACTGAAATAAATTGATCAGACTGAAAATACAAACCTTGTTGACATTAATAGAAGGGAACATATTCTGGAACATGGTGGCCATCAGTTTCAGGTGCACATCGTCACTACTGAAATTATTCATGACAAGCAGGGGGTGGTGCTGGAACTGTTTCTGTTCCAAGTTTGGCCTTTTGAGAGATGTAATGACATCTCTAGCTAAACAATAGTTCTGTATCTTGAAAGTCAATGTAGGTCCTCGTGGTATTCGAATAACTCTAAAGTTTGTTGCCACTTCAGTTTTTGTGAACATGAGAAAATGTGATACATTAAGAGGTCCAGCCACACCCACATAATCCTTCAGTACATTTTTTCTTCTGACCTGTAATTCAATCAAATGCATGATTATTGACAAAATGGCTACAGAGGCATATGACTTGTATGAAGGAAATATATCAAATCAGTTCAAATACATGTATTATAAATCAAGTTATCAATAAATGAATATAGCAGTGTATATAAATAACACATAGCTGAGAGGGTGATAGAGCAGATTGTTACCCCAAGAAAACATTGTCAACTGAGGCGAAGCCAAGGTTGACAATGTCTTTTTAAGGGGTAACAATCTGCTCTATCACCCTCTCAGATATGTGTTATCTAATTTATTATACTGAATGTTCTTTTATTACTGTCTATTAAATTTCAAATTCAAAGTAATAAACTATGATGTCTACATAATAACCATCTGTATTTAATAAAGCGCACACTTGATCAAGCCTCTCTGTGAAGGGTAATAGAGTATTTGCCATAGGATAGAGTAAATTGTCTCCCTCGTCAGTCAGGGGTACTACTTGTACAAGTAATCTTTATTTACTTGAAGAAGTAAATAAAATATACTTATACAAGTTAATTATATTGTTTGAATAATCTCCCCTTAATTTTCGAAAAAATTTACTTATATAAGTAAATTTTTTTTACAATCCCACAAAAATTCTCAAGTTTTGAGATGTAAAATCATGCCTTTAACAATTTTTCTCAGGTTAGCTCATAATTTTTGATAAGAGTTCAATGTTTCATCTCATTAATTCAACAAAAAAACTGATTGAGCAAAGAACTTAAGTATTTGCGCAAGGCCTTCAAAAATTTCTCCTTGGGGACTTGTAAATTAGCAGTGTTCTAAAGATAACAGACAAATGAGATTTTCATTGTCCATGAAATTACACTTAAATGAATAGTAAAGACATCTGCAAAGGACAAACAATTTAAAATTCTGTTAGAGCAAAGAAGTTCTAAGAATTCAAGAAAAGAAGATAGGATGACTTTTTTACTTGTATAAGTAAAAAAATCTGAATGTCTAAGGGACATAACTAGGCCAAAAAATAATTTACTTATACAAGTAAATAAAATACACTTGTATAAGTATCCTACAAATTTACTTATATAAGTATATTATAATTACTTCCTCAAGTAAATAAAAATTACTTGTACAAGTAGTACCCCTGACTGCTCGTATTAACCAATAAAAATCTGGCATTTTGACATGAAGTATAATAAAAAATAGTTATTTATACTAAGATAAAATATTTAGTGGGTACCAATTTTCAAGGATTAAGGAATATAAAATGTCTTTTCACAGACACATGAATTTGTGGTTTTCACAATATGTACCCAGAAAATTCACATGTATAATTCATGGGGTGTCTTTATCTTTTAAGTGAACTGGTACTAAGGTTAAATTCTAGTTTTTTAATACCTTATATGAAAATTCCTTAATGTAGACGATACTGATCAATTGTTTAGAAGGGTTAAAGTACTGAGTGCAGCCTCTTAATGAAAGGACTGATAAGTTTCCCACAAATAACAATATATCCTTAGTAGTGAGAATTGCATCCAAAAATATAACAGTTTCACTAAACAGTCAGGGGACTTACTTAAATGAGTGATTTTCTAAATCACTGATTCAAGTAACATTATGTCCATAAAGGTTGGAAGTAAGAGTTGTCTTTCTTTAATAATCACCTATTTAAGTAGTACAAATTAATCACTAGACTAAGTGATTTAATTTTATTGTAGCTTTAAATATAGAATACTAATGATCCAGGGACTAATTATGTTGCTAAATTTATCAGAACCAGCATTTGTGTTGATATGATGACCGGGTCATGTCAGGTGATGACCTTGCACTAAATCTAGGATAATGACATAAAAATCACTTGTTTAAGTATCATACCTCAATTTCCTTCCAAAAAAATCACTTCTTTAAGTATCATTATTTTAATAACCCCCACTAATTTCAACACTCCCGAACAGTGAAATTTTGATCGCGAACAGTAGAATTTTATTACATAATCTATAAGATGAAACCTTGAATTTTACAGGAAAAATACTCCCACTGCTGGGAAAAATCTGTTAAGAAAGTATCAGTTCATTATGTAAAGCCATTTTTATAGCATTTTTTCAACTAAAATAGAATTTGCAGCTAAATGATTGCATCAAAGGCATAAACCTTGCTGCTTAAAAGAAGCAAAAAGTTCTTTTTTTTTCAATTTTACTACTCAAAAGATATTATCTAAACCTATGTGTTTAAAATTTTGGTAAAACTACAAAATCACAATTTTTGACAAAACTTCGAATTTACTACTTAAATAAGTGATTTAAAAATCACTTATTTCAATAAGTCCCCTGACTGCTAAAGACAGCCCTAACTATCCACTTCTGTTAATTCAGTACTTCAAGTATTAAGCCACTTTCATGACTTTGCTTGTTGTTAATTAAGATATGTTCAACCAATTTCTGAGGAGTGCACAAAAGCTATTACAATGTATAACAAGTGATAGTACCTTTAACTTTGAAGCTGTATAAGGTTCCATGACATGTCTCATATCTGTAATTAACTGTTTGATATTCTTTCCCACATGTCCACGATGGAAAACAAAGGAATGGGGTGCTTTCTTAAATTCTTCTTCTACACTCCCTGTTTGACTTGCCCTAGCCTTCTTTGCAGACCGTCCCTGTTAAGGAATAAATAAATAATACAAATATATATAAACATAATAAAATACTTAAAATTGCAATAAAAATTCATTTATAAGTCATGAATGTATTAGTGTAAAGTTTTGTTTGTAGAGTAAAGCCAGTCATCTTCATTTTAAGTTAGATGTGTTGGGACAAATTCCTGTATCAGAAAAAAAAACACCTGAAATTTAAGGTTGTGCCGGAATCAGACCATATTTTTGGCATTATGGCTCCAGCGCGTTTGCATGTATAGCTTTGTCCTTTTAAGAAACTTATTGATTGCAGATAGATGTGCATAGGACATGTTTATCAAATTTCTTAAGAAGCAGAATTTGCTTTCTCATCCAGAACAATTGAGTTCGCCCCAATTGTTTGGTGTTCTATTTGTATGTTTGTCCATGACGTTAAAATACTAAATCCCTGGGATGTGTTTTAGTTGATTTTAGTCTCTGATGCATGATTTTTTATTATTAAATGTTTTTGGCTTTTAACTAGCTGTCAGTAACTGTGAGTACTCTCAAATCGTACTTTCTTGTTTATTTGACCTCTTGATACTAATTGTAATGCTTTTTTGTTATCTAATGTTTACTTATTCAGGTTTATATCTGGTCTATATAACAGCTTTGATAAGTGTTTGGTATTCATGGTATTACTGTAAATTTTCACTTCTTCGTACTATGTACATCAAAATTATTTATTTTGTAAAAATATTTCCTTTCTCCATTTGAACTGTACACGTATACCTAACAACAAAATTATTTTCATTCCATTTACCTGTGTTTAAACATGTTAAACATGTTAAAGTAATTGCAAATGGCTGATATTTTTGTTCAAGCATATTGTTTTTCTTAAATTGTTTAACATTTCTGAGCGGTATAACATGTTACTTCAATTATTCTTCCCTTAGTTTATTTATTTTGTATTTACATTGTATCATATATCAAATTTATTTGTTCAGTGTATGTTCACTGGTGTTAATATGTCTTTTGATTGAGTAAAGCCATTTCAATTGATATTTTATAGTGTCTTTCTATGTTGTGATGTTACACTATTGTTTCAGATAAGGGTGAAGGTTTGGTACCATTAAAACATTTAAACCGGCTGCAATTGTTTGCACCTGTCCTAAGTCAGGAATCTTATGTTCAGTAGTTGTCGTTTGTTGATGTGGTTCATAAGTGTTTCTTGTATTTTGTTTTTTATTTAGATTAGACCGTTGGTTTTCCCGTTTGAATGGTTTTACACTAGTAATTTTTGGGGCCCTTTATAGCTTGCTGTTCGGTGTGAGCCAAGGCTCCTTGTTGACGACCGTACTTTGACCTATAATGGTTTACTTTTATAAATTTTGACTTGGATGGAGAGTTGTCTCATTGGCACTCATACCACATCTTCTTATATCTATTGGATGATCTGCCATTTGTCTGGCCAAAAATAAATAATTGTGTGTTTCCCCAAACCCGACCCTATCAAGTCAGGTGTGGGTAGGTAGGTAGGTAAATTATTTTATTTTTTTTTGGTAAATTTGTTTTTTTTGGTACTTGTAAATAGGAAATTACAAACCATCATTATAGGGCAGTATTTTAAATTCTAGGGTGTATCAAGCTATCAGTTTCCTCATGTCAGATATATTAAATAAAACTCTATGTATAACTTGAAATAATTTATTTAATCGGGTTTCTCTTGGGTGGTAATTTTCTAATAATGACACAGTCTCTGCAAACTGGTAGAACAATACGATGTGTTTTAATGGCATCTTGGTCCTTTGTTGCCCCCACAGCTGCACAGAAGGCACAGATATCGGGCTGTGCCAGGGTAGAGGCATAATACGGAAATTCCACTTGTGTATTACAGTCTATCTGTAGGCGCACATTCACCACGCCTTCAAGAGCACCACCTGAAATAAAGAACAACAGAGATCTTTAATAAATAAAAAAATAATATCCTAGAGTACTTTGTATATATATATTGGGAATTTTCAATGAATAAAATGTCTAAAATACTGAGCCTTCTGTTTATTATATTAAGCAGTATAATCTGTCAGAAATCTGTCCAAGTTCAATGTCAGAGAGTGTACTACTAGAGGTTGCACTTTGTAAATACAGCTGTTTCTCAAACCACGCCTCTTTTGGGGAGATATATAATATTCATAGATATGTTAATTTGTTAACGTACTGGTTCCCATTTATGATCTCTGTGTTTCATCTCATAGAGACATCACTTGGGAATGTAACCAGTATAGAAAAACATGGTAGCGCCTAAATTTTAATTCTTAGGAGGTCCAAAAATGGAGGTAAGGGTAGTATAGAATTTTAGTATAAGTTTTAACTCTTAGAAGTTCAGGGCATATAAATGTTGAAAATATGCCGCACAGCCCTATATTTTGACCTTTGAATAAAATAGTAGTGCATATAAACTTTCCGTTCTAGGATATTATTTTTCACAAAACTTCATAGTAAAAGTGTCACAGTTTTAGCCGCAAAGGGAGTTCCTATGGGAAATTGCATTGTCTATATTTACAGAATTGCAACCTATATAGGGTTAAAAATTAGAACATACAGAATTTCATAAAATCTTGTTTATCTCAGAGATTGTGGAGAATTTAACTCAAATATGAAGTTTTATAAATATTTCATGAAGATTGAGAAAATCCTGGGCCTTAACTATGATGAGTCAGCATAAATTCACAGTTTACAGTATGCATTGTTTACTTAAAGCCATGAGTTAAAAATAAATTCATAAAATATGCCTATTTGAAATTTAAATTGTTTAGAAGTGCTTAGATTTACACTTCGCAGTCATTGCAAATCATTGATCCTTCTTACATATTTTTGGTGGGGTGTTTTTGTCCTGTCGATAACCCAAAAGTAAGCCGTAACACCTAAATGTGCTTTTTTGTGACCGCGGCATAAAAAGTACAAGCTAGAATTACCAAAAGACCTCAATAAAACTTACAAGAGTGTGTTCTATCCAAAATATGTACTAAATATTCCACATTGCTAGAAGCATGGAAAAAATTTAGGAAATGTGAGGCCCCAGGGGCAAAAAACAGAGAAAAATGCCTCCCCCTGGGTCATAAAACAGATAATTTAACTTCTAAATGCTATGATTTTATTATTTTAAAGGTCTTTTGTAAAGAAAACAATAACTGTGCTAGGAAGTTATGCAAAAATCAGATGTAAGCAGTCATTTCTATCAAACTTTTAGTGAATTTATGCACCAGACTGATATCTTCATAAATACAACTTTTACAAATATGGCTTTGTTTAAACACTTCTAGTTCATATATTAACTAACTTATGTTAGATATATGGTTAGGGATGATACTGTTGTAACATGAATTCTAAACTGACCATTTGAGGCAGAAATTGAGAACTTTCATTGACAAATAGGCATACAGTAAGATGTGGACTGGAGACACAGGCAGGATTGGATACTTTGTATAATCTTGAATGTTGGAATGATTAACTACTAAGCATTACATTTATAGTATTTAAAAATGCTTTCAATTTGTTATCAAAATAGTTTCAAACAGGTTTTAGACAGTTCATGTCAGAAAACATGCACATAGGGTAAGCTGGCAATAATTAAAGTCTTGTTTTCAAATTCTTTCAAAAATTGAAACAGGGGTAGGTGTATAAAATGTACTGTAAAAGGAAACTTAGAGTATATGCAGTGATTTCTTTAAGGCTATAATTCTGATAAATAAGTATTGTTGTGAGAAAAAGTGATTTTAGAGAGTTTTCTATTTGAATAAATGTTTGTATAGGTTGCACTTTGTAAATACAGCTGTTTCTCAAACCACGCCTCTTTTGGGGAGATATATAATATTCATAGATATGTTAATTTGTTAACGTACTGGTTCCCATTTATGATCTCTGTGTTTCATCTCATAGAGACATCACTTGGGAATGTAACCAGTATAGAAAAACATGGTAGCGCCTAAATTTTAATTCTTAGGAGGTCCAAAAATGGAGGTAAGGGTAGTATAGAATTTTAGTATAAGTTTAAACTCTTAGAAGTTCAGGGCATATAAATGTTGAAAATATGCCGCACAGCCCTATATTTTGACCTTTGAATAAAATAGTAGTGCATATAAACTTTCCGTTCTAGGATATTATTTTTCACAAAACTTCATAGTAAAAGTGTCACAGTTTTAGCCGCAAAGGGAGTTCCTATGGGAAATTGCATTGTCTATATTTACAGAATTGCAACCTAGAATGAAGTATGCAATTTTCCACTGAAAGAAGGATTTAAACATTGAAACCATATCAAACACTGAATAACTCAATGGAACATGCATATAAAATACAATCAACTGAGAGTGTATGAACATTTTATTGTATGTTAAATGTGGAACTTTCATTCAATGTTGGTTCACAAAATCATGCTATGCAAGACCATGTTATAATATATTAAAAGTGATAAGAAAATCTTTTGGGAATACTATAAAAGCAAACCTTCAGGTGTGATAACAGATCCACAACAGTAGTCGTACTTGGTTTAAAAATTAAAACAATTACCAAATATCAAATTAATGTGCTTTAAAGATACTTAGAAAAGTGCTAAGAAAAATTTAGATGGAGTATGCACGGATGGACTGAGCCACACCGGTGAATCATATTGCTACCCCCTTAGCAGAACATACAAATATACAAGACTATAAACATCAGGCTGACCAATTAGACCCCCCTCCTTCATATTGATACAGTGATTCAATGTTGCTGTTTTATGCCCGGGCAGCATAAATTCAATGGATATATTCAGCCGATGGACATGAAGTGTATGTGTGAAATGACCATGGAAAGAAGCCTGCTTTTTACTAGTCAGACACGCGGAGCTGGATCTTTAACGTGCAAGCACACATTGAAGATAGCAGTCTGCAGGAAGAAGTGTCGCCCTACTCTGACACATTATTCTGATTCCGGGCAAACCAGTCTTTGCTCTAACTCTAGTACTGCATGCTTTGTGGAAAAGCAGCAAATACCAATTTTAAAGCCTT